GCAACAAACCCCCACGGCTTAAAGAAAGGTGATTCTCCGCACACCCCCCCCCCCCGCCTGAAAAAGAAAAAAACACAGCCAGACGCTCATCTCGATTTAAAACTGTTCAAATGGAGTCGAAGACCCCGTTGTGCAGAAGGGGTTTCCATCAGGGCGCGGGATCCCGGGAATCATTTCATCCCACTGCAAAGTGACTTTTCCATGGCCTTTCCGCCCCGCCCAGGCCGGGGGTTGTTGTTGCCGCCGTCCCGCCGTGGGGAGCCCCCTTAATCCCTGCTTAGCCTTATCCATCCCGTGCATCTGGCAGGTTTAAGCGCTCGGCAGCCTCCGAACGTGGATGTGCGGTGGATTTGTCCGCCTGGATTATTGCAGTGGGTTTGTCGTTGGATTTATCTGGTGGTTTTGTTGTGGGTTTGGGTTGGTTTGTTGTTTTGTTTTGTTTTGGTTCCCCCCCCCCCCCGAATTAAAACGTGGGCTTGGCAACCTGGCTCTGTGTAACCCCTTCCCTCCCAGCGCCGCAGCCCGAGGGCAGATGCGTGGGAAGGATTAACTTGATCCACAGGGAGTAGGGACAGCTGCCAGTGTGTGCCCTGGAGCCTCCTCCAGAGCTGTGACCCCCGCCCGAAAGGGCTCTTTTGGGTAAGTTCTCACATTGCTGCTGCGCCGAGCTCCCCTCAAATGGGAGCAGGACAAGTCCTGGGTGCCCACTGCCTCCCAGTGCCCGCTCCACTGCATCCCAGTTTGGATTTCCCCTCCTGCCTTGCCCCCCTCAGTGCCCCCCGGGAGGCTGTGCTGACTCCAGGGAGGGTTTTTGGGAGGGAAAGGCTGAACCTTGCCCCCCGCTGTCACCATGCTGCTGTGGGCAATGCTCGGCCAGCCCTGGCTCAGTATTGGCAGACAGCACATGATGTCCCATCAGCACGGATATTTCCAAGGAAAGAACGAAATCTGTTGGGTTTTTTTTTTCACAGAATCACAGTGGTTTGTGTTGGAAGGGACCTTAAAGTCCATCTCGTCCCACCCCCCTGCCATGGGCAGGGACACCTTCCACTATCCCAGATTGCTCCAAGTCACATCCAACCTGGCCTTGAACACTCCCAGGGATGGGGCAGCCACAGCTTCTCTGGGCAACCTGTGCCAGTGTCTCACCACCCACATCATAAAAAACCTTCTTCTTGTATCTGATCTAATCCAATTTTCCGTGTGTGTGCTGTAATGAAACACCTCCTGCGCCCCTTTTGTTTACCAGCGTGGAAAAACAACCAATTCCCACCCATTCCTATCAGCAGCAACAAATCGTTCCCAGCGCCAAGGTGTGATCTCGACCTCACTGTGTCACACACACCCAACAAAGGGACACTTCTTTAAGTGCTAAAAAAGCCTGGAGGGTGTGATATAGCCACACCTACGCGTGAATCAGCCGAGGAGAGGTGTCCACCTTGTCTCCCCGGGCCCATCCCCACATCATGATGGATGGAGGATGGGGTGTAAAACACCCTGGCATCCCCTCCATGGTCTCCTGAGTCCACTGCTGGCCCCGGGCCAGGGGTTGCAGCCCTGCCACCAGCCCCAGTTGCCTGAGGCAGCTGCTCTGGTGGCCCCCAGCCCCGCCACGCAGTTGTCGCGGGTGTTTCACAGGGCTCAGCCCTCACTGCTGTTGCTTCACATCCACACACACATTCCCCCCTTTTCCTGAGACACCCGATCCATCCCTGGGGCTTCACATGTCACGCAGATGCCGCAGGCACAGGTTGGTGTTAAAATTAGCCCTTGGCTCCCTCCTGCCCACGAGGCTCCTGCCTGTTGGTGTCCCCCAGCGCAGCTTCTGGGGTCCCGGCACCCCCAGTTTGGGGCATCCTCCTGCTTTTGCCCCAAGCTTTCCTTAAAAATTAACACTGTGGAATTCTGCTCCGGTGAGATGTTCTCCATCCTCATGAGTGTCACATGTGACACTGGTGAAGCTTTGGAGAGGCTGGAGCACAGGGACTGGGACACTGGCGGTGTCTCACCCCTCAGTCCCACAAGGAAGGATTCTCCCTTTGGCCAGGCACGTACAGGGGATATTTGGTAAATATAAATGTGATACAGAGCAGCTGGGAGGCGCTGGGGCACATGTGGCACATCAGCCACCTTCCTCAGGCAGCACTGAGGGTGATCATAATTCCCAGCTCATCACCAGACCCTCTGCCTGCCTCAAAGCCCTCGGTCATCTCCTTCCATCTGATATGGGACTTTTCACCACCTCTGCAAGACCAAGCTGGGTGAAATTCTGTGGGAAGTCAAGATGGGATCAACTGGCTCAAAAAACTGATGAGCTGATTTTCTACAAACTTGGTTGTGTTTTTTTTAGCTGACCTCTGGTAGGAGCAGCGGAAAGGCCTCAGGGAAGGGTGTTTCCCAGCTGTTTTGAAGCTGTGGTTGGCTCAAGGAGGACACCTTTCACCCCCAGATGCCATTTTATGGCAGGATCATGGAATCATGGAATCCCAGAATGGGTTGGGTTAGAAGGGACATTAAAGTCCACCTCATTCCAACCCTCTGCCATGGACAGGGACACCTTCCACTATCCCAGGTTGCTCCGAGCCCTGTCCAAACTGGCCTTGAACACTTCCAGGGAAGGGGCATCCATGGGATTGATGGCCTGGACAGAACTGATGCCTCACTCCTAGTAGGGATGAAGCATGTGGATGGTGTGACCTCTTTGCTAAACAACAGTCTGAGGCTTTGATTAATTGCTGGTCTTCAGCTGCTCTTTGGATCATGATTTCCTTGGCACCACATCTTGGTGTGTCCATGGTGATACAACCAGAGCAGGACCACGGCTGGAAACCTTGGTGGTGCTTCCAGGCAAGGCTGGTGGGTCTCACAAACTCCATGACAAAGAACAGGCCAAGGGTTTTGAGGGTCTCAGCTCTTAGATGGGGGAGGCAAAAAGCCTGTAGGGCTTGGGAGACCAGCACTGGAGAAAATCCAGAGAAAAGTGACGGTGGAAAAATTTAAGGGAAAATAAGGGATGGATAGGGAAAGGGTGAAAAAGGAGGGGAAATCTCTACAGCAAACCCTATTGTATCATCCCATGCCTGGGAGCAACAGCAGCCCAAATCCAAGTGGGGATCGAGAAACTGAGAGGCTTCTGGCTCGAGGAAAGGCTTTATTTGGGATTTATTTACACTGACATTTAATCCAGGGTTATTTTCCCCCTTTATTTTCTGCCTCTCTGTAATTTTCTCTCTTCTGCTTTTTACCGCCTTTCTTTTTTTTATTTTTCTCAAAAAAAAAAAAAAAAAAAAAAAGAAAAAGAAAAAAAAAGCAAGGTAGAGGAAATCATGATGCATTTGCTCAAAGTGTAACATTTCAGCATTTCAAATTTTCCAGTTCTATGGAGAGAAAATAAGAAAACAAGTAAAAGCCTCAGCTCCAAAGAGCAGCCATTTGGGAGGAGAGAAAGAAAACACTGTGTCACTATTTTGCCATAGCAGATGGGGTGTCACAGGTCCAGAGAAGGAAATGGAGCTGAGGAAGGGTCTGGAGCAGCAGGAGCGACTGAAGGAGCTGGGGGGGCTCATCCTGGAGAAAAGGAGGCTCA